GAGCTCCTTAACTGCTGGTTTGCTCAGCCCCTGCACCAGAGGGCCTGGGCTCCTTAACTCCTTGTCTGCTCAGCCCCTGCCCCAAAGGGCCTGAGCCGTGACTGTTTGTGCCCTGCCCTGATCCAGGGCCTGGGCCTCAGGACTAACTGTCTGTTTGCTCAGCCCCTGCAGCCGAGGGCCTGAGCCCCTGAACTAACTGGTTGTCGTTCCACCAGTGGTGAGTCAGTGTGGCTCCCCTCCTGCCCAGGAGGGTCGAGCCCCGGTGCGAACCTCTTACACATCCTTAATTGGAACATGTGCCACAAACACTGCCAAGGCCAAATGTCGTCTGGTCAAGTGTGCTGTGAGTCTGTCTGTAGGCGTGACCGCTTTGATAGCATAACATACTAAAATGCAGCTGGTGATCCATTTTGAGAGTCTCTGAATTGTGGTTGACTGCCCTTTCATACATTCTGCCTAAGAAACAAAGAGCTGGGAAGAAACTCATAAGGGCTTTGTCCCACTGAGGTAAAAAAAAAAGAGAGTTCGACAAACATCCAGGGAGTGTAGCCTTCACTTGAACTTGCGTGTATATGGCTTTGGGAAGAAAACTGGCGGGTGTATAGATTGATTCAGATGGAAATCAGATACCACTTTTGAGAGAAATTTAGGGTGCAGTCTAAGCTGAAGTTTGTCCTTGTAGAAAACTGTGTATGGTGGATCAGTGACCAATATACTTAGTCCTCCCACTCTCACAGACACTAAGAAAGCTACCTTCAATAATGGTTGTAGAAGTGAACATGATATTAAAGGCTTGAAAGTAAAATCCATCAAGACAGACTACACTAGAAGGAGTTGGGTCCCTGTTAGAATCTATGTAGACCTTACAGGACTCTGCTCATGACATGATGAATAAAAAGTCTTACCATCTGTGCAAAGGTGGAATGCTGAAATGGCTGCAAGACACATCCTAATGGAGCTAATGGTTAGACCTGACTCTTTAAGATGCAAGAGACAGTCCAGTATTGTTTGAATATTAGTCTGAGTGGGGAGACGCATTAAGTAACTCCTGTGGAAGATTTTGTGCTGTTAAGAATATTCTGGACTGCCACTGAGAATGTGCCTCTTCTGCATTCAACTACTGACATGCAGCACTTCGGGACTTGGGTGCAGCACCCGATAACGGTTCTGTGTTATGAGGCTGGTTATCAGTAGCAGCATGGGCTCCTGAGTGGGCAGTTTGTGGAGCTCTGAATAGCAAATCTGTCTTGGCCAGGCTGGAGTTTTAAGGCTCATTCTGTCATGATCTTTCTTGAGCTTGAGAATTATGCTGCGAATCAGCAGTATTGTGGGGAATCAGAGGTGGGTATGCATACAGCAGACTCCTGTCCCATGGAAACAGAGAAGCATCTGATATTGATCCGGGGCTGTGACCTGCTTTGGAATAGAACCAGGGCACTTCCTGTTCTGCCAAGTCACAAACAAATCCACCAACAGAAAAAACCTTGTGTGGAACAACCAAGCTAGAATGTTCATGTTGAGAGATGATTTGTGGTCTAAACTGAAAGATCTGCTCCGACGATCCACTAGACCATTCTGAACCCCCAGCAAGCGAGATGCCCTGAGAGTGTCTGAGCTCCAAATGCACGTTACACAATTTTACCGCTTCCTGACAAAGGCTGTTTGAGCTGGCACCCCCTGGCTTGTTCACATAATACACTACTGTGGTGTTGTCAGTGAGCACTTGGACAGTTTTGCCCTGAATGTGAGGCAGGAACTGCTGCTATGCAGGCAAATTTGTGTGCAACTCAAATATGCTTATGTAACCTGGCCTCGTGGGCAGCTCGTAAACCTTGAGCCTGATAAATGCCCAGATTTGCACCAAGCCCCATGGCTGAAGCATCTGTTACCGAAGTCTTGGAAGGGAAAGGAGGAGAGAAGGGGACTCCCTTGGCTCATCCACTGAGGTGACAACACCTTGTCAGGAACGCATACCAGCTTATCTAGATAGTGAATCTGAGGATAATAAACTGACTTGAGCCATGCCTGCAGTGCTCTGAGGGGGGTCACACATATACATGAAGCCATGTGACCTAAGAGCCTGAAGCAATTCCTCACAGGATGGTCCTTGAGGGATGCTCAGAGGTCCCATATAGTCTGAAATCTGGAAAGAGACAGAAACACCTTGACAGAAGTCAAATCCAGGACTGCCCAATGAATTCTACCTTTGCAAAGACAATAATATCAACTTTTCTTTGTTTAATTTCAGGCCCAAGATGTTGAACAGACAGAGTTTGATGGACCACAACATGCACCTGGCATCTGAAGCGATCCCAAATCAACAAGTTGTCCAGGTAAGGATAACAGTGATGTCTCTTCCATGAAGACAGTCTGCAACTACAGCCATGCATTTCGTAAAGACCCTCGATGCTGACGACAGGCTGAAGGGTAAGACAGTGAACTGGTAATGGTCATCTCCTACGACAAACTCAGAAACTTCCTGTGGTCAGGATGAATCTCCACATGGAAGCAGGGATCCTGTAAGTCAAGGGCAGCATACCAGTCTCCCAGATCTATGGAGGGGATAATCATAGCCAAGGATGCCATACAGAATCTTATCTTCCTGATGTATTTGTTGTGGTTTCAAAGGTCTAGGATGGGTCTGAGAGTTCTTTAGTGTGTGCAACACCTCATCTATATTAGGTGAGAACAAGGCACATTCCTTCAAGAGGAGTCCTCAATTGTCTGTGGCACCTGCACGGGAATCCCCAAGGACTCCAACCAGGAAGAACAGCACATAGTCACTGCTATAGCCCTGGCAGTGGAATCCGCCACGTTCAAAGAAGCCTGAAGAGCTGATTGAGAGACAAAGTGGCCCTCAACAACAAGTGATTGAAATTGTTCTCTGGAATCTTCCAGCAGCTTGCTCACAAACTGAGATATTGCCTCCCAGTTAGAGAAGTCAGACCTCCACAACAGAGCGTAGTGATCGACAATATCGAGGTGTGAACTTGCCATAAAATAAATTTTACTACCAAAAAGGTTGAGCTTTCTGGCATTTTTGTATTTGGGGGTAGCCTTGGCCTGGTCCTGCCAGTTCTTCTCATTCACCACAGCCACTACCAAAGAGCCAAGTGTGGAATGTAACTAAAACTGTTCAAACCACTGGGTCAGAACCTGGTATTTACATTCCATTCATTTGGCCATGGGGGGAAAGGAGGAAGGGGTTTGCCAGAGTGTTTTAGCCAGCTGCATAATGTCCTCATTGATAGGCAAGACTACCTTTAATACCACATCTTGGCAGCTGTGCCAGTGCTGGATGATGGATTTTGTCCTGAAGCAATGGTGACCGTGGTAGCAATGGACATAACAAGTCCCTGCTATGGCCTAAGCCTCTGGTGTAGTGAGTACAGACATGGGTTATTGTCCCGCAAAGAGCAGAAATGACTGCTCCATTGCAGCTGGAGAGGTAGCTAATCTCGGTGGTCCCTGGGAAGGCACAGGCGTTGATGGCTCAGGTCTTTCTATATGAGCCAGGACCAGGAAGCAGCGAGCCAAAGGGCAGACTCTATCACTAGTACCAGAACAATCTTCTTGTTGTATTTTTTTGAGGCCAGATCTGCTCTGAGTCTTGGACTTCAAAGAAGACAGTCGTGGAGACAGAACTGTCCTGCAGCTCCTGTCTGTGGGCATAGCTGCAGGAGCACTTTGGGAAGGAGTCATAGAAGAACTACCTTTGGGCAACCGAGGAAGTTCCAACACCAGTCTAAGAGCAGCCTTCATGAGGATGTAATGGAGATGTTCCTTCCTCAGCTTCTCTGTCCTAGCCTTGAAATCAGGGCTTTGGAGCGGAGCCTGGAGCTGGAGCGCGGAGCAGCTCTGGAGCAGTAGAGCTCCAGGTTTTTGCCTGGAGCTGGAGCGGAGCCGGAGCATAGCTCCAAAGCCCTGCTTGAAACCCCAATAAAGCACTTATCTCTAACATGATCCTTGCCTAAGCACTTGAGACAATGCAAATGAGGGTCACTGACATATATAGGTTTCTGCAGCCTGAGCAAGGTTAAAAACCCAGGGATCTTGACACAGGCTCCCCTGGTCCCAAGCAGGGACTGGAGGCCCTGCTGACTGGAAAAAAACTATTAAGAACTAAACATTTTTGAAATGAAATAAAAAAATTTAAAAGCATCAAGTGACAAAAAGGAGTGCCATTAGGTATTACAGAGTAGACTAAAAGTTTTTGTTAACAGGGAACACAAATGCTCTGACCACCAACCATGGATGGTAAAAAGAAACTGCAGGAGCGGCGAGTTGGCTCCGCACTTTATACCCTCACTTCAAAGAATGAGGAGCTCAGCTGTGAAGGGGGCTGCCCCTATATGTACCACTACCAGAAAAATCTCCAGCACCTGTGCCTGGGACATGCACACACCTACAGTATAATCATCAATATAAAAGCACTCGCAGAAGTATCTGCAAGAATTAGACTTAGCCTGGATGTGAGGACCTAGAGAGAGGCTAGAGTCAAAGATGACACCCAGAATACAGGCCTGAGCAATAGGTAGAATTGTGGTGTTCTCCACCGTGGTCAAGAAAGGTAATGGAGAAGGCTTGGGAGTAGAGTTGCCAACTCTGGTTGGACAAATTCCTGGAGATTTCATAACATGACAATCTTTAAAGATTAATCTTTAATTCCTGGAGACTCCAGGACAATCCTGGAGGGTTGGCAACTCTTGGGGGATTAAGAGCTCTGTTTTAGCCATGTTGAGTATAAACTGATGGCTAGACATCCACGAGGAGATGTCAGTGAGACAGGCTGAGATGTTAGTTTGGATAGACAGACAGGTCTGGAGTAGAGACAGAGATCTGTGAGTCACCTGCATAGAGATGGTAGTTTAATTTGTGTTTGCAGATGAGATGTTACTATATTATTTTTAAAGCTATTGTAATAATCGAATAATAATTGCAGACTATATATTTTACCTTGCTTGAACATTGCTGGGATCTTCCTTAATCACAGCTGTAAAATCTTGAAGAGCTATAGTCCAAATTGATTTCTCAAAGAAATGTATTCCATGTTTCATAAGTGCATCTGTTCTTTTTGGATTATACTGAAAACACTACATTGAAAAATTTAAGAAGCACAGAATATTTGCATAATAGTTATACTTATTTTCCTATAAATTAAAAATCAGAAATGAAAAGGTACCAAAGAATATATGCTATTTTTTTTAAAGTATAAACTATCTTCCATTCTTTTAAACACTTTCCTTGTCCTTTAATTTCCTTTGCCATTCTTTTCCCTTCAGCTGTAAAACTGGATCACATAACCAACTAGGCAAGCTTATAAACTGACTCTTAATTGAGCTATGAATCACTGTCCAGGATAAATTACAGAAAATATGTACTAACTCCATCACACGGAATGATTTGTTTGATTAAAAGGATATAGGTTTCTGAAAACTATGTGCCAGATAAATCCAAATATTTGTACACTAACTCCTCACTTAAAGTCGTCCCAGTTAACGTTGTTTCGTTGCTGATCAATTAGAGAACATGCTCGTTTAATGTTGCGCAATGCTCCCTTATAACGTCGTTTGGCAGCTGCCTGCTTTGTCCAATGCTTGCAGGAAGAGCAGCCCGTTGGAGCGAGCTGGTGGGGCTTGTAACCAGGGTGGACCAGCAGCCCCCATATCAGCTCCCCGCTCCCCTAAGTTCCCTGTGTGGCAGCAGCCCAGCAAGCTATCAATTGCCGGGCAGTTCAGCTGTCCCTCCCCCCACTGCCATGTGCTGATCCTGCCCTCTGGGAGCCTCCTGATTGCTGTGCAGGGAGGGGGAGTGGAAGAGGTCTAATGTCAGGGTTTCTCCCTCCCCCCTGCTCCTGCACCCCACTGAGCCCATCTCCATAGAGCGGGGAGGGGGACAGGAGGGACATGACAGGGCTCAGGACGGAGGCAGCAGCTGCTGTCTCAATTTCCTGATCTACTTAAAAAGGCAGTGTACTTAGAGTCTGGTCAGTGTACTTAAAGGGGCAATGTGCATCTCTCTCTCACACGGTGTGTGTCTCTGTCTTGATCTGCCATGCTGTCTCCCCTCCCTCCATTCATGTTGCCTTGTAGAGTGTGAGGCTATATTAACAACAATGGGTTAACCCTTGAGGGCTCAGCCAATTGCTAGTTCATCATTTAGCAGTAAGGCATTCCCTAGGAAATATCCCACCCTCTGACTTCACCACCTCAACCAAGCTTCACAATCATCATCACTGTGTACCAGTATTAAATTGTTTGTTTAAAACTTATACTGTGTGTGTATATAATATAGTCTTTTGTCTGGTCAAAAAAAATTCCCTGGAACCTAACCCCCCCACACACACATCCCATTTACATTCATTCTTATGTGGAAATTAGATTCGCTTAACATCGTTTCGCTTAAAGTCGCATTTTTCAGGAACATAACTACAACGTTAAGCGAGGAGTTATTGTAATTCAGTGATGTTACTATAATAATGTTACACTACAAAAAGGAAAACCTACTTTGGCATAATCATCCATTGCCAATAATAAATCCTCTTCCTCTTCCAACAACTCAGCTCTCCTGAAATAAATGTCATCATCTGTAGGGTTGCATTTCACTGCTAAAGTGCAATTTATGATTGCCAATGCATTATTGCCTTGATTTCTGTAAATTTCAGCCTTTGACAGATATGCATCTAGAACCAATAAAATATAAAATACAACATTTAGCAGCACAAAATATTGACAATTCACCTGCCATCTGCAGAAAAATAATACAAGCATGAAAGTAAAGCATGACCAATTCTTTTTCACTCTGGGTGATACACTGCAAAAGTACTGGAACTTCAGCTCTGTGCTCAGTCCTCTAACTCCGTAGACCTCCTGACAGGTAGCTTGTGTAAGATTTCTCAGTCTTTGCAAACTCAGATTAACGTAAAGCACTTCAAAGTGATCCAAATATTCAAAGCCATTTTAGCCTGAGTAAAATAACCTAACTGGCCTATTTTGAATGTTTCTTGACAACATTCTAATCTGTAGATTGAGCAAAAAGATCAAATAAAAAAACCTGTGCATGCACAAAAAACTTCCAGCAACTTCAAAATTACTACACCAATTTATTTCAAACACAGCATGTTTCCTTAGCTCTCCTTAGAATGTATTACTCAAAACAAAGCAAGTTTGAGCAAAATAATGTCAGTCACAAGTTAGTTATGTTTGTGTAAAATTCCTGATTAAAACTTATGGCAGAGTGTTTACACACATATACACACACACTAACACACCTCAAAACATTGAACAGATTTTCTGGAACTTTGCAAAAACAATTTGCTTCAGGCAAAGTTCAAGCATGGAAAACTGCAACCTAAAATGAATTTGTCTGTTTAGAGCAGTTAAAAAAGGGAGTTAATAACCAAAATTACATTTTAACTGTAACATACAAGGGGACAAAATTAAGGGTGCATGAACAACCGTAAATTTGTTATTTTGTAACTTTCAAGTGCACCCTAAGTAACATTCTTTTCATGCAGGTTTTATTGTATGCAATCCCTTAGGTTTCTGTTTGTTTTTAATGGAAGATAAAAAATTACAACAATCTCACCTAGGGTTGCCAGATGTCTGGTTTTCAACCAGAAAGTCCAGTTTTAAGGGGACCTGTATAGTCTCCAGTCAGAAGTACTGACTGGACACCAAAAATCTGATTACCGCAATTTTCTATCTTCTTCTCCAGGAGGCAGCTGTGACCATGAGGTAAACTCCCCAGAGGGTTCAGCCATCGCCGCTGTGGGTCAGGGTGGAGGAATCACCCCCAAAGGTGGAGGAGGAGAAGCCATGTACCCCCAAGGCTGGGAGGATCACAGCCACCACACCCAGGAGAAACGTAGGGCAGGTTGGTGAATCTCTTCTGTCGCTCTGACGTGGCATCCCGGAAGGTATTGTCCAGCCCTCTTACTACTACCCCATGCTACTCATCCATGTGGGCACTAATGATACTGCGAGGTATGACCCTTAGCAGATCATGAGTGACTACAGGTCTCTGGGAGCAAGGGTGAAAGAGTTGGGAGCACAGGTGGTGTTCTCTTTGATCCTTCCAGTCAAAGGTAGGGGCCCAGGAGGTGAATGCCTGGCTGAGAGGACGGTGTTGCCAGGAGGGCTTCAGGTTCCTTGACCATGGGATGCTATCCCAGAAAGAAGAACTGCTAAGCTGAGACGGGGTCCATCTATAGAGGAAGGTGTCATAACTATAAAGGGAAGGGTAACAGCTCTCCTGTGTACAGTACTATAAAATTCCTCCAGGCCAGAGACTCCAAAATCCTTTTACCTGTAAAGGGTTAAGAAGCTCAGGTAACCTGGCTGACACCTGACCCAAAGGACCAATAAGGGCACAAGATGCTTTCAAATCTTGGGGGGGGGGGAAGGCTTTTGTTTGTGCTCTTTGTTTTGGGGGTTGTTCGCTCTTGCGACTGAGAGGGACCAGACATCAATCCAGGTTCTCCAAATCTTTCTGAACAAGTCTCTCATATTTCAAACTTGTAAGTAAACAGCCAGGCAAGGCGTGTTAGTTTATCTTTGTTTTCTCAACTTGTAAATGTACCTTTTGCTAGAGTGTTTATCTCTGTTTGCTGTACTTTGAACCTAAGCTAGAGGGGGGTCCTCTGAGCTCTTTAAGTTTGATTACCCTGTAAAGTTATTTTCCATACTGATTTTACAGAGATGATTTTTACCTTTTTCTTTAATTAAAAGCCTTCTTTTTAAGAACCTGATTGATTTTTCCTTGTTTTTAGATCCAAGGGGGTTGGATCTTGATCCACCAGGAGTTGGTGGGAGGAAGGAGGGGGGATGGTTAATTTCTCCTTGTTTTAAGATCCAAGGGGTTTGGATCTGTATTCACCAGGGAATTGGTGAAGAGTCTCTCAAGGCTACCCAGGGAAGGGAATTAGCTTTGGGAGTGGTGGCAGCGGACCAGATCTAAGCTGGTAGTTAAGCTTAGAAGTTTTCATGCAGGCCCCCACATTTGTACCCTAAAGTTCAAAGTGGGGAAGCAGCCTTGACAGAAGGCGAAGAGCATATTTGGATACAGACTGGCTAACCTCGTGAGGAGGGCTTTAAACTAGGTTCGAAGGCGGCAGGTGACCAAACCCCACAGGTAAGTAAAAAACATAGAGACCTGAGAGAAGGGTCAGAATGTGGGGAGGGAGTATGGGCTGTTACAGCAGGGATAAGGGAGAAACAAGACAGAACTCGGAGGGGAAATTAAAGCAGTATCTTAGATGTCTGTATACTAATGTGAGAAGTATGGGGAATAAGAAGGAAGAACTCTAAATGCTAGGACAGGCAGGAGGAAAGGGAGGAAGTGTTGCCTTGTATATTAAAAATGTACACTTGGACTGAGGTTGAGATGGAAATAGGAGACAGACTTGTTGAAAGTATCTGGGTAAATATAAAAGGGGTAAAAAACAAGGGTGCTGTCATAGCAGGGGTCTTCTACAGAGAACCTAACCAGGAAGAAGAGTTAGATGAGGCTTTTTTTAAGCAAATAACAAAATCAGCCAAAGCATAGGACTTGGTGGTAATGGGGGACTTCAACTACCCAGACATCTGGTGGGAAAATAACACAGCAGGGCACAGATTATCCAACAACTTCTTGGAATGTATTGGAGACAATTTTTTATTTCAGAAGATGGAGAAAGCTGCTAGGGGAGAGGCTGTTCTAGATTTGATTTTGACAAGTAGGGAGGAACTGGTTGAGATTTTGAAAGTGGAAGGCAGCTTGGGTGAAAGTGATCATGAAATGGTAAAGTTCATGATTTTAAGGAATGGTAGGAGGGAGAACAGCAAAATAAAGACAATGGATTTCAAGAAGGCAGACTTTAGCAAACTCAAAGAAGTTGGTAGATAAGATCCCATGGGAAGCAAGTCTAAGGGGAAAAACAATTGAAGACAGTTGGCAGTTTTTCAAAGAGACATTATTAAGGGCACAAGAGCAAACTATCCCACTGCATAGGAAAGATAGGTTGTATGGCAAGAGACCACCCCACTGCATAGGAAAGATAGGATGTATGGCAAGAGACCACCCTGGCTTCACCAGAAGATCTTCAATGATCTGAAACTCAAAAAAGAGTCCTACAAAAAGTGGAATCTGGGTCAAATTACAAAGAATGAATATAAACAAATAACACAAGTATGTAGGGACAAAATTAGAAAGGCCAAGGCACAAAATGAAATCAAACTAGCTGGAGACATAAAGGGTAACAAGAAAACACTCTACAAATATATTAGAAGCAAGAGGAAGACCAAGGACAGGGTAGGCCTGTTACTCAATGAGGGGGGAAAAACAACAAAAAATGTGGAAATGGCAGAGATGCTTAATGACTTCTTCGTTTCAGTTTTAACCAAGAAGGTTGGTGGACCTCTAACACAGTGAATGACAGTGAAAATGAGGTAGGATCAGAGGCTAAAATAGGGAAAGAACAAGTTAAAAATTACTTAGACATGTTAGATGTCTTCAAGTCACCAGGGCCTGATGAAATGCATCCTAGAATACTCAAGGAGCTGACTGAGGAAATATCAGAGCCATTAGCAATTATCTTTGAAAAGTCCTGTAATCTCCCGTCTTCCATAAGACTGGCACTATATTTGCCCTTTTCCAATCTATAAAAAGGGAAATAAGGACAATCCGGGGAATTACAGAGCAGTTTAACTTCTGTACCCAGAAAGATAATGGAGCAAATAATAAAGCAATCAATTTGCAAACATCTAGAAGATAATAAGGTGATAAATAACAGTCAGCTTGGATTTGTCAAGAACAAATCATGTCAAACCAATCTGATAGCGTTCTTTGACAGGGTAACAAGCCTTGTGGATAGAGGGGAAGCGATATATCTTGAATTTAATGAAGCTTTTGATACTGCCTCGCATGTCCTTTTCATAAACAAACTAGGGAAATGCAACCTAGATGGAGTTACTATAAGGTGCGTGCATAACTGGTTGGAAAACCATTCCCAGAGAGTAGTTATCAGTGGCTCACAGTCATGCTGGAAGCATAATGAGTGGGGTCCTGCAGGGATCCCGTTCTGTTCAATATCTTCATCAATGATTTAGATAATGGCATAGAGAGTACATTTATAAAGTTTGCGGAAAGATGGGAGGGGTTGCAAGTGCTTTGGAGGATAGGATTATAATTCAAAATCAGCTGGACAAACTGGAGAAATGGTCTGAAGTAAATAGAATGAAATTCAATAAGGAGAAATGCAAAGTACTCCTCTTAGGAAGGAACAATCAGTTGCACACATACAAAATGAGAAGTGACTGCCTAGGAAGGAGTACTGCAGAAAGGGATCTGTGAGGGGTCATAGTGGACCACAAGGTAAATCTGAGTCAACACTGTAACACTGCTGCAAAAAAGCGAACATCTTTCTGGGATGTGTTAGCAGGAGTGTTGTAAACAAGACACGAGAAGTAATTCTTCCGCTCTACTCCGTGCTGATTAGGGCTCAACTGGAGTATTGTGCCCAGTTCTGGGTGCCACATTTCAGGAAAGATGTGGACAAATTGGAGAAAGTCCAGAGAAGAGCAACTCAAATGATTAAAGGTCTATAAAACATGACCTATGAGGGAAGACTGAAAAAATTGGGTGTGTTTAATCTGGAAAAGATAAGACTGAGAGGGGACACGATAACAGTTTTCAAGTACATAAGAGGTTATTACAAGGAGGAAGGAGAAAAATTGTTCTTCTAAACCTCTGAGGATAGGACAAGAAGCAATGGGCTTAAATTGCAGCAAGGGAGGTTTAGGTTGGACATTAGGAAAAATTTTCTGTCAGGGTGGTTAAGCACAGGAATAAATTGCCTAGGGAGGTTGTGGAATCTCCATCATTGGAGTTTTTCAAGAGCAGGTTAGACAAACGCCTATCAGGTGGTCTAGATAATACTTAGTCCTGCCATGAGTGAGGGGACTGGACTAGATGACCTATCGAGGTCCCTTCCAGTCCTACGATTCTATGCTTCTGACTTACTCTGAGCATGTTTGAACCCTGTACCTTCTGTACCACAGCATAGACTTCTACCATTTGCATTATAAGAATAACATTAGTTAGTGGCAGAAGAAGGCTGCAGTCGCAGTTGGTGGGAGGGAACAAGCCACTGGGGCCAGCTACTGGAGCCAGGAGATGGTTTTGGGGAGCCTGGTTCACCTCCCTCTCCCTCTCTCCCCTACCCTTCGTGGGAGTTGGGGAGCTCCTGCCCCATGTGGAGCCCCCACAACAGGGAATGAACCTCTGGGACCATTTGCTGATCCAGATAATCACTAGGTGGAGTCTGGCTTATCTCTCTTCCACTTCCCACCCCAGAAGAGGGGAATCTCCTGCCCCATATTGTGCCCTGGGAGGACAGTGGATGGGTGGTTGGGGCCACATGCTGGATTCAGATGGCTAGTTGGGGAAGCCTGTGTTTCTTTGTTCCCCACCAAAGGAGTTGAGGAATTTCCTGCTGCATGTAGTGCCTGGGTCTAGAGGGAAGGCTGGGAGCAGAACACACACACCCCCAACCTCACCCATGCTGCTGCAGCTGCTTTGGGAGCTCCCAAGCACTTTGAGTAACATCCACTGCAGCTCCTTTCCTTTCCTTTCCTTTCCTTTCCTTCCACAAACAAAAAAAACAGGTTGAAAGAACACTTTATAATAGAAATCCTTTGGCAGGGTCGTTACCAGCTTTCCCTGAAATATTAATGGATATAATGTCATGACAATTGTGTATGTATTGAAATAAAACATTTAGTTATTGTTTTAGAAATACTGATTTAGGCTCCAATCTTTCAAAGACTTATACTCATGCAAAACTTTACAAACTACAAGCAATCCTATTGAAGTAAATGGGACTACTCGGTGCATAAAGTTAGGCATGTCCATAAGTCTTTGCAATACTTGGGCCTAATACAACTGAAGAAACAGCATTTGTGAGAAAAAACTGTTTTAAAAAAATCAGTCATATTTCAATAGATACTTACCCACATTATTTTTGTTCCATTTAATTATAACATTCAGGTCATCCAAAGCAGCTTGATTTTTTTCTTGAAAGAGGTAAATCAAATGCCTGTGCCAATAAGCATTAAGTAGAAGTGGTTCTAAGCTTATGGCCTACAAAAGAAAATAAGAAATAAATAGTAATTTATTATTTAGATAGTGATAGGAGTTTCTTAAATGAGCTAGGAGCTTCCTGAATACAGAGGATGTCAAAGACTCTGCTCTGCAGAGTATACAGTTCTATACATTTGAAATACAGATATTATGCAAGTAAAATGTGAAGTCCCAATATTGCAAACACTTATGTGCATATTTAACTTTAAGCATGAGTAACCCTATTGAAGTCACTCATGTTTCAAACTAAGTACGTGTTTAAATGTATGCAGGATTGTCCTGAATTTCAGAAATATTCAGTCTGAAATATATATATTAGCCGGAAAAATCATCATAGTTTATCACTTTTTAACAAGTAAAACATACTTGAATTCTAGGGGATAAACACAAAATTCCACATTGCTGACCTGTCTGAAGGTGATAAATAATTGGCATTTCCCAGTTTATAAGAAAATGTCAGTGTTGGCCATATGTGAACTGTATTATTGCTATGAAAAACATTATTGATTCCTTAAAAGAAAGCATTTGACTGTGATCTTACTACATTAATTAGATCTCACCAAGCAAATAATTTCTTATGCATTTTATTCATGGTGCTCATAATATTAAACTAACATAAGCATAGGGAAAATTTACATGAGTATACAAATCTGCCACTGCTCTGCTAGAGTCTAGCCTTGTAAACCTGCCAGACACACGGCATGGTTCACCTGTTTTCTAAGGCTTTGGAGGATGATAAAGATGGGGAATTAAAAGGATAAACTGAATATCCTGTGCAGGTAATTTTAGACAGTCTAGAAGATATCTAAGAGATTATAGGTGATATTGTGTATTGTAATGTACTGTAAAGAGTAAGAGCTTGTAACAAGTATCAGGGGGTAGCCGTGTTAGTCTGTATCTACAAAAACAACAAGGAGTCTGGTGGCACCTTAAAGACTAACAGATTTATTTGGGCATAAGCTTTCGTGGGTAAAAACCTCACTTCTTCAGATGCATCTGAAGAAGTGAGGTTTTTACCCACGAAAGCTTATGCCCAAATAAATCTGTTAGTCTTTAAGGTGCCACCAGACTCCTTGTTGAGCTTGTAACAGATACCTATATTATTGTATAAATCAAAATAAAACCAACAAATACATACTTTGCACTTATGTATCACTTTACATGGGAAGTCTGTGGGAAAAGATCGAGTTTCTTAATTATAAAACAGTAACAGTCAAATTTAAAGTTAAAATGTTTTATAAATGTTTACTGGAATCTGGAGACAATAAGTAAATTGGGTCCAGAACAGGCACATTTTTGGTGGAAGTATCAAAACCAGGTGAAGAGATTTTTACCCACATGCTTTGGATCTATGCATAATGAGAACGGGTGATGTGAAAGATGAGCAATGTGGATATGGAATTTATAATTAGTGTACCTATCTAAAATAAACACTACACCTCTACCCCAATATAATGCGACCCGATATAACATGAATTTGGATATAACGCAGTAAAGCAGTGCTCCGGCGGGGTGGGGCTGCGCACTCCGGCGGATCAAAGCATGTTCGATATAACGCGGTTTCACCTATAACGCAGTAAGATTTTTTTGGCTCCCGAGGACAGCGTTATATTGGGGTAGAGGTGTATTACTGATCTGAAGACTATTTCATCAAGAAATGCCTTGGTGATAGGCACCTTAGAAATACCTAAAATAGATAAGTAAATTGAAGGAGCACTGCTTGGATAAATTTGAATTAATGAAGAATAAGATCCCCCAACAAAGACAGACTGAAGGGTAAACCTTTCTCACATTGTAGCTCTTGAGAGAGCAGGACAGCACAGATGATTAAAAAACATGTGTAAACAATTTACTTATACTAAGGGGGCTGGGATGAATTATCGTCATCATAATCATGATTTAACATTTATATTCCAGTAGTGCTTGGACACCAAGCAGGTTGGGGCCCCTACGTTAGATGCTGTACAAACATATAGTAAAAGATAAGTATAAATATGAAGAACTATGCTATTGGCTGTAAGTGAAGATTTTTGCGTTAAATACACCTTCTACCTTCAAGTAATGTACTTTAGATTTTATCTTTTTATTTTTGCTGTTTATAATTTATTTTAATCCTCTTTTTGTTATGCTTAGTTTAGATTGTGTAGTTTCTTGGGTGGAGGTGAAGAGTTTCTCTATGAAGTGGGTACCCTCTAAATTACTTATAGACTTAACAGTCGTCAAAAACAAACATACCAAATACCAATGTTAATTTATAAATATTAATTATTGTAAGAACATTTATTTTAATAATGCATAATAACTATACTGCACTTTATAGAAAATAAAGGCTTGATCATCAGCTGTGCCCAGAGTAGTGCTTGGAGCAGCTGGGAACAAAAAAAATTTACTGCCAACTTTCTACACTCTCTCTTCCCAGCCAGGGACCAATTCAGAACTTCTCTAGCTTGAGACAGCTATTATGGACTCCAAAGAAACATTATGGTGCTAGAGCACAGGGTATTTTAGCCCTGCATCTCCATTCTCCGAATATGTACCTGGGACCATCCCATTCTGGGAGAGAGGCAAAAGAAGGTGGAATAGAGCTGGCTATCAGCTTTCTACCAGCCCTGGGAGAACTCAGATGCCCAACAAGGTAACAAAAAACACCTAGTTCTTGGTAGTAAACAAACTTTGTATTAAACTTACTTTTTCCAAATCATCCATGGCTGACTTTAACTTGCCTAATTTCCTGTTTATTGCTCCACGTCTACAATAGTGAAACGCTGAGGAATTTCCTTCGTTTTCAATCAACAGTGTTAGTCTATTGATTTCTGTTTCCAAATCTTCAATATCAGCAAGATCTTCTACCAAAACAGGATTCGCTGAGTCCATTAGATCTATTTCTAGATCAGGATTTCCTTGTTCTGCAGAGTCCACCTTCTTAGTGTCTGTTAGTACTTTAGCATCTTTTTCCTCAGTAGAAGCCCTACTCGGAGGGAAAGCCTCATCGAACCAGCTATTCCAGATTCCTCTGACCCATTCACGATCATCAAGGTCTTTTGGAATTCCACCTTTACTTTTTGCAAATTTCTCAAAATCTAACAAACAAGGGAGACTTGGACTTCGATAACGTTGGACTGCCGGAGATACTCTGATACTGAATTTATTCTGTATATGTAGTCTTCCAAGGGATACAGAGCTGAATCAGGAGGGGAAAAATGATTACGTTAACTACAGGTTCTTAGCTATATTGATGATACGGAGAATTTGGCGATCAATAAATATTCAATTAACCACTTTACTAGCTTAATTAATAACTCTAATATTTTTGGTCTAAGAGCCATTTATTATAATATAATTACAAATTAGTCACAAGTGAGCACAGGTATGATAAATGATGCTCACACACCAAAATAAATCAGTACCTGCTGCTCAGTTCCAAGCACACACACCTCCTCAGAAAGTTCTCAACACAGGTATGTAAAGACAAAGCTAGACCTGAGAAAAGGACCAAATTCAAGAGCTGCATAATAATCTATAAGATTAGACAGATGGATGAGACACACTAATGGGATTCTGAGGAGGCCAGGGAATGTACATCTAGGTGCATCATCCAAATTGTAATGCATGGAACATGCTAATAATGGCCAAGGACAGTGCCAAAACCAAGCCCAGAGTGATAATTTCTTTGTCAAGTCAGTACATAGCCTCCAAACTGAGAGTCTCGACAATGTTCAACATCAAAATCTGCTGATTGTGTCAGATTTAAGACCTATTTCAAGCCACTCAATGCCAAAGAAATATAGAAGTCTTTATCTGTAGCTGTAATATTCTCTGCGTCACCAAAATACAGAGTGCTAAAATGGAATGTTGAGATAATATTTTACATTTATCCACTCTTTCATCTTAAAAATCCCAATTAAAACAATATCTAATTATATACAAAACCACTGAAATGTAGCCACCTCTAGGGTGAAGGACACGCAGCACACCATACAGAGGTAGAAAGCCCTGACTCTCAGCAAAAGTGCTATGAAAACTTCAGTCTCAACAAAAAGCACAGAGCATCTCTGTTTATAAGGTTATCCTGAAAACAAACCACCACTTCAATGTACCATCACAGTAAATCACACTGTACTCAATCACACTGTACTGTTAAGTAAGAGTATTAACATTCTTTTACTGCATCTATGGCCTTTTAAATACTTGATTACTTCCTAAAGTCACATCTCTTCTATATCCTATATAATAAAATGAATAAAAATAAGCAATGATAATGAATATATTTAGAGTGATACATGAAGTCTGAAGAGTAAAAAGAGAACCCCTTCCCTTGGATGTAAACTGTGCAACCTCACAGAACACAAGAGGGTAATCCAGCCTAGGATTTCAATCTCCTGTAACCTCAGGATTTCTTTCTGTTCTTTCAGAGGAAAGAAATCTTAGTTTAAATTGTGCTGTTATAACAACTAGACTAAGCTTTTGGCCACACTACTTTTTAAACTTCATTAATCACTGGCTATTGTTGTTCTATAAATAAGTTAATTAATTAAAGTATAGGATTCCCTTTTTAATGAACTGAACATAATTCCTATGTTTCAGAGTAACACTTCACATTCAAAAAGATTAAATACAAAAATCAAAAATATGACCACAAATTTAAATAAATGGTTTACAAATGTAATATGTATTAATTAAAGAAAACCTTTTAAGAATCTTCGAGGGTTGTTTTAATCCCTCAGCCATAGCTTCTAATTTTCCACGGTCTATCATTTTCTTTGATTTCTTTGTTTTCTTTTTTTTGGGGAAAATAATGTACTTAATCCCAGCTTTTCGAGCTCTCTCAGCAAGAACTATGTCATCATCACTATCCTCTTGTCCGGTCAAAATAGGTGTTCTTTTCATTGGTATGTCTACCAGTGTTGGTAAAGGCTCATCACAGCTTTTAGTCAATAGGTTCTTAGTAGGGGAGCTTTTCTCAATCTCTGTCTCAACCTCTGGCTCAGATATCTTTTCCTTCATAACCTTCAACTCTTTCACGCTGGTTTTGAAATTAGCAGAAATCTTTAACACTGTTTTGTCTTTGAAAGCAGACATATCTGGTGCAGAGACTGATCTTTTAATAAAACTTATCTGTTAGAAAAAAGAGAGCTGAATTTATCTGATGTTCATTTGAAACAAGATTTATGTATTACATTTACAGAATTTTAGTAGATTGGATTTTAGTATTTAATTTAAAAATAATAAAAAGATACATAATTTCATAGAAGCTATACTATTGCTATTCCAATCTGTTTAGAATCTAAGAAGCAAACCTTTACTCATAGATCTTGTCCAATTTATATGTGATTAAGTAGGTAAAGACTACTCACATGAATAAAGGCCCTAACCAATTCCCTCTGAAGTCAACAGGAGACTCTCAATATAGACCTCCAGCTTTCTGTTTTGATATTAAAAGATTCCAAGCAATCCACTTGAAAGAGAATTTTGATTTAATCTCATTTTTTTTAATTAAGCAGAAAGGAAAACATTAGAAAAGCAACAAAGAGTCCTATGGCACTTTATAGACTAACAGACATATTACTTATGCTCCAATACGTCTGTTAGTCTATAAGGTGCCATAGGGCTCTTTGTCGCTTTTTACAGATTCAGACTAACACGGCTACCCCTCTGATATTAGAAAAGCAGTTAACTTTAAATATTTCTTATATAGTAGTATTATGCTGGAAATATTCTTTCTTAAAATTTACTGCAGATTGAAACAATCAAGCACCAAAAGGATAAAAGTTGGTCTATAAAATCTAAAGGAAAAAATAAATAAAAGTGACTAAATTACAGTACCTTTAATATTTCAGTGGCATAAAAATCTGGGCAGGAATGGCATCTTCTTAGTGTGCTTTTTGCCTACAAATAAAACAAAATGAAAATAGGTCTATCATAGTCCATGCCTAGTAAAAGTGGAGTCTTCATTTACTTTGTTCTTAATTACACAATTTTCAATAAGAATGATAGTTCTTCCTGACAAATTTTCTGTTTTAGAGCTGGTTTTATGCTATGAATTCATGCAAAAACTATGTTAACACAATGCTAGGATTACAAAGTTAAAATTAAAACAAAAGCAGGAAAACGTTAAGTGGCCGTGTTACACATATTTCTTATTATCAAATCTTGGTTTTCGTGTTAGATATGGAGCTTAATATAGCTCTAGTTATGTTATTAAGTACATACCATAAAATATTACCAAAAACAAAAATTTAGTTAGTTTGACAGCTTAGGTTGCATGAGGACACACTCACCTCTCTTAAATCTTGAAAGCATGTAAATAAGAAGCTAAAGGTAAAGTCTCTAACATTCCTTCCTACCTTCACATTACCTACAATGTGGTCAATGACACACTCCAATATTCTATAGGGTATTCACTTCATCTCCAACAGGTATAAAAAAGCAACTCCATCCAATTCATAATCTAATGCAAAAACTTAATAGTGACCTCATATGTTTTATATTTACAGATTAGCACATCTGACTATCACATAGTCCATTCATTTGGAAAGTTATTCTGCTTTAATTCTGCTGAGATTGCCATCACAGTTTTGCACGTGAGCATGAGTTGGATGAAGCTGAGATATATACTCCTTTTCAGTAGGTGTGTTCCAATGAGCTAATGCAATTGTCCCAGAAGCAGTATGTATGACTGCTGGGCTCCTGGTAAAGCCAGAATGTGCAGTGATGTCATTAAAGGGCTATTCTTTACTTGAAAATTAAATGAAGTTAGAACATGCCTTTGAGGAGTTGTATTAGTTAACCTGATATTAAATGCTGCTTTGCAGTAGACAGTAAAGACAGGGACAAGGCATGGTTAACATTGTGTCAGCTTGTCGTGGTTAAATATATAGTTCCAGTAGTTTACCCACAATCAGCTGACACAATGTTAAACACAGAGATCCTTGACTGCAAAGCCATGCTTAACAGCATGTTAGTTAACACAACTCAAAATTGTGTTCTAACACAACCTACTTTTCTATTGAAGACAAACCTTGGAAGTTAAACTCCTTTCAGTTAAACTTCTTTCCAAAACAACTGTTAATTGCATTACAGAGAGTCCTACAGTATCATATAATACTTTTATAATAGTGTGAAAGGGTGAACCCGGCCCTTTGAGGCTCCCTGCTGGAGGCCTCTCAGTCCTACCACACCTTGCCCCAGGAAAGGAGCAGTGAAGGTTGGTCCTCCAGGCCTGCCTAGAAAGGCTGCAGGGAAGAAGCCAATCAGAGCACAGCAGCCTCAGATAAAAGGAGCTGCAGGGGCTGAGCAGGGCAGTTCCTGGCTGGGACCAGAAGGGGCAAAGACAGGGAAACAGTTAACTGACACAAAGTATCTTTGAGTATAACAAATTTATCCAAAGATTAAAAATGTTTTTGGTAAGCCCTTAACTCTTGAAAAGGAAGCAATTGGGAATAATTTAAATTGAAAGCTATCTTATTGAGATACATATATACCACCATATAACTGTAGATGTCAAGATCATCCTCAGACTCTGAGTCTTCTTCCTCTTGAAGGTCAGCAGAAAAGTCTTCAGTTACAACACCCTCAATAACATTGCTCTGTAATATTAACATATTTAATATTAATTTTACGTTACTATTAAAATTTTAGTCAGCTACAGTAAATATAGCAATATGTCAATTACTAAAGAACATACTATAGGTAATCTAAAGTTTAGGGCAGTCAAGCAATTAAAAAAATAAATTGCGATTAATCGCATGATTAAAATAATTAATTGTGATTAATTGCACTGTTGAACAATAATAGAATACAATTTATTTAAATATTTTTGGATATTTTCTACATTTTAAAACATATGTATTTCAGTTACAACACAGAATACAATGTGTACAGTGCTCACTTTATATTATTTTTATTACAAATATTTGCACTGTAAAAAAACAAAATAAATAGCATTTTTCAATTCACCTAATACAAGTACTTTAGTGCAATATCTTTATTGTGAAAGTTGAACTTACAAATGTAGAATTATGTACAAAAAAAAAACTTCACTCAAAAATAAAACAATGTAAAACTTTAGAGCCTTCAAGTCCACTCAGTCCTACATCTTCTTCAGCCAATCACTCAGACAAACAAGTTTGTTTACATTTGCAGGCGGTAATGCTGCCCGCTTCTTGTTTACAATGTCACCTGAAAGTAAGAACAGGCGTTCGCATGGCACTGTTGTAGCCGGCATCACAAGATATTTATGTGCCAGATGCACTAAAGATTCATATGTCCCTTCATGCTTCAACCATCATTCCAGAGGCCATGTGCCCATGCCAATGACGGGTTCTGCTTGACAATGATCCAAAGTGGTGTGGACCAATGAATGTTCATTTTCATTATCTGAGTCAGCTGCCACCAGCAGAAGGTTGATTTTCTTTTTTTGGTGGTGTGTGTTCTGTAGTTTCCGCATCAGAGTGTTGCTCTTTTAACTCTTCTGAAAGCATGTTCCACACCTCTTCCCTCTCAGATTTTGGAAGACACTTCAGATTCTTAAACCTTGGGTCGAGTGCTGTAGCTATCTTTGGAAATCTCACATAGGTACCTTCTTTGTGTTTTGTCAAATCTGCAGTGAAAGTGTTCTTAAAATGACCAACATGTGCTGGGTCATCATCCGAGACTGCTATAACATGAAATATATGGCAGAATGTGGATAAAACAGAGCAGGAGACATGCAATTCTCCCCTAAGGAGTTCAGTCACATATTTAATTAACACTTTTTTTTTTAGCGAGCATCATCAGCATGGAAGCATGTCCTGTGGAATGGTGACTGAAGCATGAAGGAGCATACGAATGTTTAGCATATCTGGCATTTAAATACCTTGCAATACCGGCTTGAAAAGTTCCATGTGAATGCCTCTTCTCACTTTCAGGTGACATTGTAAATAATAAGTGGGCAGCATTATCGCCTGAAAATGTAAACAAACTTGTTTGTCTGAGTGATTGGCTGAACAAAAAGAAGGACTGAGTGGACATGTAGGCTCTAAAGTTTTACATTGTTTTGGTTTTGAGTGCAGTTATGTAACAAAAAAAATCTACATTTGTAAGTTGCACTTTCATGATAAAGAGATTGCACTACAGTACTTGTATGAAGTGAATTGAAAAATACTATTTCTTTTGTTTATCATTTTTACAGTGCAACTATTTGTAATAAATAATATAAAGTGAGCACTGTACACTTTGTATTCTGTGTTGTAATTGAAATCAATATATTTGAAAATATAGAAAAACATTCAAAAAAAATTAATAAATTTAAATTGGTATTCTATTGTTTAACAGTGCAATTGAAAGTGTGATTAATCACGATTACTTTTTTTAGTTAATTACATGAGTTAACTGTGATTAATCGACAGCCCTACTAAAGTTCTTATAGAATAACTATTTAGTTCATATTTAAGATGCGCAGACACATCTGTCTGTTATGGTCAAAATCTATTTGGTGTGACAGCGAGTGAGGCTACCGCCAAGCTGGCTAGTGCTCCCTGAGGGTATGTCTAAACTACGAGAGTCGTTCGATTTTACTTAAATCGAATATGTGGAATCGATATTGCAAAGTCGAACGTGTGTGTCCACACTAAGGACAGTAATTCCACTTTGTGAGTCCACACTAACGGGGCAAGCGTCGACATTGGAAGCGGTGCACTGTGGGCAGCTATCCCACAGTTCCCGCAGTCCCCGCTGCCCATTGGAATTCTGGGTCGAACCGCCAATGCCTTCTGGGTAAAAAAATGTGTCGAGGGTGTTTTTGGGTAACTGTCGTCATCCAACCGTCACTCCCGCCCTCCCTCCCTGAAAGCGCCGGCGGGAAATCAGTTCGCGCACTTTTCTGGTGAGTGACAGCGCGGACGCCACTGCACTGCGAGCAAGGAGCCCGCTGCGACCAGCGCTGCAGTTGTGGCCGTTGTCAACACCTCGCAGCTTATCATCCACCTTTCCCAGAGGCAGATGCAGAGAAATCAGGCTAGGAGGCTACGGCACCGCGGTGAGGATCTGAAGTCTGAGAGTAGCACAGACCTGTCAGAAAGCACGGGACCCAGCGCCGAGGACATCATGGTGGCAATGGGTCATGTGGATGTTGTGAAACGGCGATTCTGGGCCCGGGAAACAAGCACGGACTGGTGGGACCGCATAGTGCTGCAGGTCTGGGATGAATCACAGTGGCTGCGAAACTTTCGCATGCGGAAGGGGACTTTCATGGAACTTTGTGAGTTGCTGTCCCCTGCCCTGAAGCGCAATGACACCCGGATGCGAGCAGCCCTGACTGTCCAGAAGCGAGTAGCCATAGCCCTCTGGAAGCTTGCAACGCCAGACAGCTACCGGTCAGTCGCGAACCACTTTGGTGAGGGCAAATCTACCATGGGGGTTGTTGTCATGCAAGTAGCCAACGCAATCGTTGAGGTACTGCTCTCAAAGGTAGTGACCCTGGGAAACGCGCAGGTCATCATAGATGGCTTCGCCGCGATGGGATTCCCAAACTGCGGTGGGGCTATAGATGGAACTCACATCCCTATCCTGGGACCGGACCACCAGGCCAGCCAGTACATTAACAGAAAGGGCTACTTTTCAATGGTGCTGCAAGCACTGGTGGACCATAGGGGACGTTTTACAAACATCAACGTGGGATGGCCGGGCAAGGTTCATGACGCTCGTGTTTTCAGGAACTCAGGTCTGTTTAGACGGCTGCAGGAAGGTATTTACTTCCCGGACGACAAAATAACTCTTGGGGATGTGGAGATGCCTATAGTCATCCTCGGGGACCCAGCCTACCCGCTAATGCCCTGGCTCATGAAGCCCTATACTGGCGCCCTGGACACTGAAAAAGAACTCTTCAACTATCGGCTGAGCAAGTGCAGAATGGTGGTGGAGTGTGCTTTTGGCCGTCTCAAGGGGAGATGGAGAAGCTTACTGACTCGCTGTGATCTCAGCGAAACCAATATCCCCATTGTTATTGCAGCTTGCTGTGTGCTCCACAATCTCTGTGAGAGCAAGGGGGAGACCTTTATGGCGGGGTGGGAGGTTGAGGCAAATAGCCTGGCTGCTGATTACGCCCAGCCAGACAGCCGTGCGATTAGAAGAGCCCAGCGGGACGCGCTGTGCATCCGGGAGGCTTTGAAAGCTAGGTTCCTGAGTGAGCAGGGTAACCTGTGACTTTTCAGTTTGTGTACAGAGAAGCTGAACCTGCCCCCGTTTCTTTACCCACTAAATGTTCAGTATCCTCTCCAGTTACATACCCCGTTCCCCCCCTTCCAAAACACGTTTAAAAATAAAATGACTGGAATTTTGTTAATGAACACCGTTTTCTTTATTACTGTTTTCGCGGTAAAGTTTTGAACCTGGGACGCAAACTGTGGTGGGGAGCGGGTGTAGTGTAGTGATGCAAATGACGCTTCTAAACTCCAGAAATGACAGGCTCCGCAGTGGTGGACTGGTGGTTTCAACGGAGCCTGCCACCCCTCCAGTTTGGGACTCTGTGTGTGGGGGGGCTATGTGACTTTGTGGCAGGGGGAGGACGGTAACAGATCCCCTGCTGCGTGGCTCTGTGATCCAGGATAAGGACCGCTGCATAAGATCTCTAACTGCCCTCCCCCGCCACAAAGTCACAGAGCACCTCCCACAGAACACTAAAACCACCTCCCAGACTGACCAGGGTAACTAGTGACTGCAATGTGTGTGTGCCTTGCTGATGTCCTGTCCAATTACCAACCCCCTTTCCCCCCTTCAGACAGACTCTCCTGTATAGAACATGATTGAAACAGTAATGAACAGAAACGTATTTTTTATTAGCAACTACACATGAAACTGGGGGGTGAAACTTGGACGGGGGCTTCGGTGAGGCGGGAAGGAAAGGACTTGTCAAATTTTGGGGAATGAGAGCCTTCTACTAGAGCACTCTACAGGGGTGGAGTGAGAGTTTTCACGGACTCTGCTGCCCCTCCTTCTTTGGACTTTGGGTGATGGGGGGATGGGACTTGGTGGCTGGGGAGGGCGGTTACAGATAGACTGCAGCGGGGCTCTGTCCTCCTGCCTCCGGTCCTGCAGAACATCCACAAGGCGCCGGAGCGTGTCCGTTTGCTCCCTCATTAGTCCAAGCAGCGTTTGAGTCGCCTGCTGGTCTTCCTGCCGCCACCTCTCCTCCCGTTCCATGTGTGATCTGTGCATTTGGGACAAGTTCTCCCTCCACTGTGTCTGCTGGGCTGCCTGGGCTCGGGAGCAGCCCATAAGTTCCGAGAACATGTCCTCCCGTGTCCTCTTCTTCCTACGCCTAATCTGCACTAGCCTCTGGGAGTGTGATGCCAGGCTAGGTTGTGAGACAGTCGCAGCTGTGGGAATGCGAAAAAGGGAGTGAATTCCTCAGAAAGATAAATTTCGTTGTGAACAAAGAACATAGTCTTTCTCTGTGAACAAGACCATGCACAGCACCTATCACATGTGCACTCAGGACAAGGTCGAATTTTCGGCCTTCGCATTCAGTGCCTGGGGTCTTGCAGTGCAGATCAGAGAAGCGGGGCAGGACACCGGAATTTGTGTAGCAGGCCGACATGGTAAGCCGTAGACTTGTGGCTGCTTAAAACTTTGATAGTAGCACTGGCCTCCTTTCACATTGAAAGCAATGCCAGTCCCTGCTGCCAGCAATCCGGCAAGCATGAACTCTGCCCCTGTCCCACCCCCTCGCGGCTGTCCCAGGGAAAGATCCCTGTATGCTGCCCCTCTCCCGCCTCCACCGCGTGGCTGTAAACCGCCGGTTACAGTTCTGTAAAGGAACAGGCAAGCAGTCCCAATACTAACATTCCCCTACCTAATTCAAAGCAGGTCATCATGAGCGACATCACTCTGATGAAGATTTCCGAGACGGAAAAAGAAAGGATGCTTCGGGAAAGCCTGCAAAGACCAGGGCCGTATGCCGCCATGCTCTGCAGGGCAATGATCCCGGAGTACTTGCTTCTCTCATGGCGCGGAAATGTTTCCTACTACGGAGGACCCAATAAGACCGCTCTCCCCAGGAACCTGATGCAAAGGCTTTCCAATTACCTCCAGGAGAGCTTCATGGAGATGTCAATGGAGGATTTCAGCTCTATCCCCGGACATATAGACCGCATTTTACTGTAGCTGCACTGGCAGGGACTAAACAGTAGAGCGGCTTGGGCAGAACAATCATGCTACACCGGACATTGTTAGATTTTTTTAAGTAGTTGCACTGCCAGGGAGTGAACAGTTAAGTGCCTAGGGCAAAGTAATCATGAAAAACCCATTCTTAATATTCCTGTTCTGTGAAAAATAAATGTTTACATGTTTAAAACACTTACTGGCTGATCCTTCCCCTGATTCTGTGTCCGGGTTAACGGCTGGGGACGGTTGGTAGGGGATCTCTGTAAGGGTGATGAAGAGATCCTGGCTGTCGGGGAAATCAGCGTTGTAAGCGCTGTCGACTGCCTCGTCCTCCTCATCTCCTTCCTCATCTTCCACGTCCGCTAACATGTCCGAGGAACCGGCCATCGACAATATCCCATCTTCAGAGTCCACAGTCAGTGGTGGGGTAGTGGTGGCGGCCGCACCTAGGATGGAATGCAGTGCCTCGTAGAAACGGGATGTCTGGGGCTGGGATCTGGAGCGTCCGTTTGCCTCTTTGGTCTTCTGGTAGCCTTGTCTCAGCTCCTTGATTTTCACGCGGCACTGCGTTGCATCCCGGCTGTATCCTCTCTCTGCCATGGCTTTAGAGATCTTCTCATAGATCTTTGCATTCCGTCTTTTGGAGCGCAGCTCGGAAAGCACGGACTCATCGCCCCACACAGCGATCAGATCCAAGACTTCCCGATCAGTCCATGCTGGGGCCCTCTTTCTAGTCTGAGATTGCACGGCCATTTCTGCTGGAGAGCTCTGCATTGTTGCCAGTGCCGCTGAGCTCGCCACGATGTCCAAACAGGAAATGAGATTCAAACTGCCCAGACAGGAAAAGGAATTCAAATTTTCCCGGGGCTTTTCCTGTGTGGCTGGTCAGAGCATCCGAATTTAAGAGACCTCTATGTCGAACTAAATTGCTTCGTGGTGTGGACGGGTGCAGAGTTAATTCGATGTAACGGCGCTAAATTCGACATAAACTCCTAGTGTAGACCAGGCCTGATTCTCTAAACAGCTCCTCCATTGCCTCGGTAATTTATGCCAGCAGGCAATGGTAACAGTTACGGATAGCCAGAGCACAGCTCACTCATGATGAGGCTGAGAGGAGTGGCAATGGAGCTAACTATGCCAGGTTTGTTCCTGCTGTAGACTCCCCTATGCATAAGAAAGAATGTCTCTTTTTACTGCATCTCTTGCACTGGAGTATTTTATATGGATTGCTGGCTTCTCTATAGCCACTGGCCCCGGCACAGAGTAACGACTTTGAGTGCCAGCACCAGGCACTAGATATGTCCATTAGCTTGGATGTCATGTCAGCTGCCAAACATGTTTGCATTACGAAGATTTTATTGCACGACATTACAAAGTTTAAAAACACACTGACATTTTCTAAAATTGTTTTCTCTGTCTAAAATGCTGGGGGGTGGGGAGGAGGGGTTATCGCATTTTAATAGGAACCAGTGATAGGATACCATACAAGAGACTTCATGTAAAGTAGCTTTATAAGTTTTTCTAAAAGAAAGAACACACATTTAAAAACAACAAAGAATATAAAAGCATTAAGGGGGAAAAGTAGTATTTATTACTATGTAATTAAAATAAACACTATACGATATCAAACGTGGCCACTATAACATGTAGCATAATTACTACTGGAAAGTCTATTATTCCAGAAACTGAACTTAAAACCACAGCAAATTATGCAATACATACAACAGATCATACATATTATCACCTATAGATATTAATACAGAAACTCTAATAAAAATAGTAGTATAAATAACTACAGAAAGAGTGGTATGTATCTTCAAAAGGTAGCAATACACAGAAAACATTTAAAATATTTACCTCATACGTAGGAAATAAGGTTTCCTTCATGAAAGATAGTGGAGCAGAAAATTTTGGTGGAGCTGGAGCCCAAAACATTTTTAGAGTTCCTGGATAAACAGAAACCTTCAAAACCAACAAACTGCGGTTAGCTACTAAAACCAAGCCAAACATTAAATGTCTTTATATTATTATGATCTGAATAAAACTGTTTGGTGACAAAATGCCAAAGTCCACTTCATATGCTTTTGAGGAAAGCTGCAACCAGAATAATGAAATTTCAAGAGATGAGACACACTTCTACGACAAAATAAACTATTCAGTGTCTCTCTCTAAATTTTTAATTAATTGTTAATTGGCATTTCTCAACCTAATGCTGGCGTTGGCTATCATGCAGAAAAGTGAGGTAATTTTTGGCACTAGAAACATGAAGGAACTACAAGTTTCTAACCTGTTTTACTAATCATTTAACAATTAAAAGAAACCCTAATACTCAAAACAAATATTTTCAATTGTAAATATTAAAAGTTTTCCTTCTTATTGCTAAATCAATATAATAAAGTAGATAAGAAACCAACTAGCAGATTCTTATGGCTCACACACTGCCAATATTACAAATGATATCATTTTCAGAAGATGGCAGGTTCCCCAGCATTTGGCTCAGACAAGATCAATGTACTTAAAAACTTAGCTTTATAAAACCTTAAAGTAGGGCTGTCGATTAATCGTAGTTAACTCACGCGATTAACTCAAAAAAATTAACTGTGATTAAAAAAATTAATCGCAATTAATTGCACTGTTAAACAATAGAATACCAATTGAAATTTATTAAATATTTTGGATGTTTTTCTACATTTTCAAATATATTGATTTCTATTACAACACAGAATACGAAGTGTACTGTGCTCACTTTATATTATTTTTTATTACAAATATTTGCACTGTAAAAATGATAAACAAAAGAAACAGTATTTTTCAATTCACCAAGTACTGTAGTGCAGTCTCTACCATGAAAGTGTAACTTACAAATGTAGATTTTTTTTTGTTACATAACTGCACTCAAAACCAAAACAATGTAAAACTTTAGACACTATACATCCACTCAGTCCTACTTCTTGTTCAGCCAATCACTAAGACAAACAAGTTTGTTTACATTTACGGGAGATACTGCTGTCTGCTTCTTATTTACATTACCTGAAAGTCAGAACAGGCGTTTGCATGGCACTTTTGAAGCCACCGTTGCAAGGTATTTACGTGCCAGATATACTAAATGTTTGTATGCCCCTTCACGCTTCAACCACCATTCTGGGGACATGCTTCCATGCTGATGATGCTCGCTAAAAAAAAAAGTGTTAATTAAATTTGTGACTGAAGTCCTTGGGGGAGAATTGTATGTCTCCTGTTCTGTTTTACACACATTCTGCCATATATTTCATGTTATAGCAGTCTCGGATGATGACCCAGCATATGTTCATTTTAAGAACACTTTTACTGCAGATTTGACAAAACACAAAGAAGGTATCAATGTGAGATTTCTAAAAATAGCTACAGCACTCCACTCAAGGTTTAAGAATCTGAAGTGCCTTCCAAAATCTGAGAGGGACGAGATGTGGAGCATGCTTTCAGAAGTCTTAAAAGAGCAATACTCCGATGCGAAAACTACAGAACCACCAAAAACGAAAATCAACCTTCTGCTGGTGGCATCTGACTTAGATGATGAAAATGAACATGCATCGGTCTGCTCTGCTTTAGATAGTTATCGAGCAGAACCCGTCATCAGCATGGACACATCCTCTGGAATGGTGGTTGAAGCATGAAGGGACATATGAATTTTTAGTGCATCTGGCACGTAAGTACCTTGCAACGCCGGTTACAACAGTGCCATGCGAATCCCTGTTCTCACTTTCAGGTGACATTGTAAACAAGAAGCAGTCATCATTATCTCCTGCAAATGTAACCAAACTTCAGCCATTGGCTGAAGTAGGACTGGGTGGACGTGTAGGCTCTAAAGTTTTACGTTGTTTTATTTTTGACTGCAGTTATTTTTTGTACATAATTCTACATTTGTAAGTTCAACTTTCATGATAAAGATATTGCACTAAAGTACTTGTATTAGGTTAATTGAAATATACTATTTCTTTTGTTTTTTACAGTGCAAATATCTGTAATCACAAATATATATAAAGTGAGCACTGTACACCTTGTATTCTGTGTTGTAACTGAAATCAATATATTTGTAAATGTAGAAAACATCCAAAAATATTTAAATAAATGGTATTCTATTATTGTTTAACAGTGCAATTAATCAAGATTAATATTTTTAATCGCGTGATTAATCGAGATTGATATTTTTAATCGCTTGACAGCCCTACTTTAAAGCAAACATTTTGGTTTATCTATGGCCACAAATATTTCTTATCATCTTAAATATTTGTTGTTCAGTGCAACCAAAACCAGTGGAGTTTCCCTTTAAATAATAAGTTGGCAAATTTAAAATAGATATAAGGAATACTTTTTAGCAAAATGCACAAATAGCATGTGGAATTCATTGCCTCATGATATAATTGAGGCCAACAGCTTAGGAGGATTCAAAAAAGGTTTAGAAAAATGTATGGAGAACAATAATATCCAGAGTTATACTAGTATATTATATTTTTAAAATTAAGTGTTGGATGGGATACAAGTCCTCACACTTCAGAGCACAAGCCAACCTCTAATTATTGGGGGTTAAGAGGAAGCCTCTTTGGGGAAAGGTTATCCCAAAATCAGCTATTCCAAGGATTCTTGCTCCTTCCTATGAAGCATCTGGTACTAGCCACTGACTGCAACAGAATGCTAGGACCACATGTGATCGAGTAGGGAAATTCCTATGTTCCCATATAATAATATTTCACATAAAGACCTGGGGATGAGCGTGATTTATTACAGCATATAAAAAACTGCATATTACAACATATAAATGACACATAAAATGTGGCATTAGTGCGTGTCATTTAATTCCTGAATGACACACACTAACAAAATAATTTAGGAATTTGTTTTCAGGCTCTGTGTAATTATTTGTAAAACTGCACAAACAGTGTACATTTTTATCAAAATTAGTTCTTACTTTCTCTCCTAACAGTTCCAGTCGTGGCTTTTCAACATAATAGGCAGCTACTTTTTGCCATTCTGTTAGACTTTTTGATGTATGAGGAGGCAAAATATTAATTCCATCTTTCTGATTATCCTGGTATAGTTCTGAAACAGGAACTCCATAACAACAAATTCTAAAGTGGAATAAAGCATGAATAAAACTACTCAAATGTCAGTTACTTGAAATATTAAGAAAAATAATGTAATGTTAGTTAATTCAAATTTTAAATTAATTTTCCTTGTGATTAAACCAAAGGTGAAGGAATAAATAAAATAAAATTACTCAAGTTCTTTCCTTAGAAGGGGAGAAGTCAAGAATAAAATGGTTACCTGCCTTTGGGTAACTGGTGTTCTTCAAGATGTGTTGCACATGTCAATTCCACTGTAGGTGTGTGCGCACTGTATGCACAGTTGTCAGAGAACTTTTTTCCTCAGTGGTATCCGTTGGGGCATCTTGAACTCCCTCTGTTGCATACACTACTGCGTGCTGGTATAAGAGAACGGAGCTGCCCCTAACCCCCTCAGTTCCTTCGTACCAGGTGATTCTAATAGAGAGGGGAAGGAGGGCAGGTCATGGAATGGACATGTGCAAAACAACTCGAAGAACAACAGTTACAGAAAGGTAGGTAACAATTTTTTCTTCTTTGAGTGCTTGCACATGTCCATTCCACTATAGGTGACTCACAAGCAGACAAACATGGAGGTGAGCTCGGAGTCTACCTGAATAGTGATTGAAGGACAACCTGTCCAAAATTGGTATTGTCTCTGGACTGATGGGAAATGGCATAATGAGAAGCGAAAGTGTAAACTGATTACCAAGTTTCTGATTTACAAATAGCTATGATCAGTACTTGTGCCAAGAAAGCCACCGGAGTTGCCTGTGCTTTAGTAGAATGCATCAATATTCTAGCAAGTGGTAGCATAAACAAATGCACAAAGAGATCCAGGATGAGATTCTCTAAGTGAAAACTTAACCCTGTCCATAACTGTAATAAACAGCTGTGTGGAGATTCTAAAGAACTAAAGTACTCTCCAGATAAAAAGCTAAAGTCCTTCTCACATCAAATAAATGAAGTCTCTCCTCATCTCTATGCACGTGGGGTATCAGGAAGAATGTAGGCAAAAAGACTGCCTGGTTAGCATGAAAATTAAAGACTACAGTAACTCCTTGCTTAACGTTGTAGTTATGTTTCTGAAAAATGCGACTTTAAGTGAAACGATGTTAAGCGAATCCAATTTCCCCATAAGAATTAATGTAAATGGGGGGGTTAGGTTCCAGGGAAATTTTTTTTACCAGACAAAAGACTATACTATATATATATATATATATACACACACACACACACACACACACACACACACAGTATAAGTTTTAAACAAACAATTTAATCAGCGATGATGATTGTGAAGCTTGGTTGAGGTGGTGAAGTCAGAGGGTGGGATATTTCCCAGGGAATAACTTACTGCTAAATGATGAACTAGCAATTGGCTGAGACCTCAAGGGTTAACACATTGTTGTTAATGTAGCCTCACACTCTACAAGGCAGCACGAATGGAGGGAGGGGAGACAGCATGGCAGACAGAGACACACATCGTGTGAGAGAGAGAGAGAGATACGCATTGCCCCTTTAAGTACGCTGACCCCACTCTAAATACACTGCCTTTTTAAACAGATCAGCAAGTTGAGACAGCAGCTCCTGCCAGCAAGCTCCCTCTGTCCTGAGCCCTGTTGTGTGTCTCCCCTGCTCTTTGGAAATGGGATAAGTGGGGTGCAGGAGCAAGGGGGAGGGGGACACCCTGACATTAGCCCCCCTCTTCCCCCCCTTGCACAGCAAGCAGGAGGCTCCCGGGAGCAGCTCCAAGACAGAGGGCAGGAGCAGCACACGGCAGTGCAGGAAGGGACAGCTGAACTGCCGGCAATTGATAGCCTGCTAGGCGGCTGCCACACAGGGAACTTAGGGGAGCGGGAGGCTGATGGGGGGCTGCCAGTCCATCCTGGTTCCAAGCCCCCACCAGCTAGCTGCAATGGGCTGATCTTCCTGCAACCAGTGAACAAAGCAGGCGGCTGCCAAACAATCTGATCAAACTCTTTAGGAATCTGGTAACAATGGGTTGGAGAAAAGAGATTTATTATCCACCGAGATGTGGAAGGCTGAGATAGCTGCCAGATGTACTCTTACAGAGCAAATCTCCAAACTCTGATGTTTTAGGTATAGAAGACAGTCCAGTACGAGGTTCAGGGGTGCATGTTCTGGGGATATGCCTTTCTGACAGGATGAAATGGAGAAGCACTTCCATTTACTAAGGTACATGCCCCTAGTTGTGGGTTTTCTGTTATTCAGAAACACTTCAGGGACATCCTTAGAACAGGATCCTCCAAAGCTGTGTTAACAATGCATTAGCAATGAAGCCATCCATGCTGTCAGATAGGTGGCTGGGATGGAGCAGGCAGCTGCAAAATCACATCTAGATCCAATGGGAGAGACAGAGGCTTGACTGACAAGGTCAGTAGGGTCAAGAACCAGTATTGTTGAAGTCATGCTGGTGCTATAAGGATGAGATGAGCATGGTCTTGTTTGACTTTGAACGAATTCTGGACAGCAACAGAATCAGAAGGAAGGCATAGAGGAGTGGGTCCTTCCAGGGTAACCAAAAACACCTGGCAATGAGCCTGGTCTGACACCTCCCTGGAAACAAAACCAATGGCATTTTCTGTTGGACTTTGTTGCGCACAGGTCCATGTGAGTACTCCCCCAGAGCTGGATCTGGTGATATCAGGGCATAAAGACCACTCATGATGATCAGAGAAGTCCTGTTCAATCAATCTATTAATGTATTCTGCTTCCCTGGAAGGTAAGCAGCCATGAGATTAACTGAATTGGTTATGCAAAAGTCCCAGAATTTCCTGGCATGACTGCGCTCCTCCCTGTCTGTTTATGTAAATCATAATCGCAGAATTGTCTGTTAAAATTAACAAGTTCTTTCCTTCTATATGTCAGAAGAAAGCTGAGCAGGCTAGTCGCACCACTTTTAACTCCGTGATACTTATATGAGCAATCAGATCCCGAGGCATCCAGAGACTCACATGAGCCCTGCAACCCAGAGCTGATGCATCTGTGACTAAAGTGAGGGCTGGTAGAGGAGGAATAAAAGGGACCTCCACACAGACTTTCAGAGGGTTCATCCACCAATCCAGAGACAACAAAACTGACACTGGCACATGAACCATCTAGTCCAAATGATGATTACTTGGGGCTTTCAACGACACTAGCCATGCATGCAGCTTTCTGAGATGCAGCCTGGTGTGTTAACCCACATAGGTACATCTTGACATGTGACCCAGGAGGCTGAGGCATCTGTGTGCCATGGCGAGAGCTTATGCTTTCAGTCAAAGCACCCCAACAGTCTAGTCTGGCAACAAGGAAAAGGACAGCACAGGATTCCAAGGTGGTAGCTGCTCCATGACTTGTGATGAGGAAGCCACCTTTGTGACCTCAGTGCTCAGTACCAGAGAATGATACTGTCGGTGCCGATGCCCCCAGAGTAATCTCAATGACAAAAGATAATATGGTTGCGGGGAGGTCCTTGCAGGATCAGGGACATCCCACGGTGTCCAGAACGACTGCTGATATGGGCCTGGAACCACACCTTGACCGGGCCATTGCTCCATAGGAGAAGAAGACCAGTGCTGTGACTGCTGCATGACCCAAGGTCTGATGGAGGGTATGCCCTGTGTCTTGGATGGGACACAGAGGAATGCACCTCCGAGTATGAAGAGGAAGAATCTGAAACGTCTGACGCTGGGGGTGCACAACCAGTTGGGACTGTGGTTAGGTAGCCCAAGCTTGGAGATGATGGATGTGGTACTGAGGATATCATTGGAGGCTTGCCCTTTGACTGCACCAGTCTTTGTGGAAGCTTGGGAGGTAACAGTACTGTGAGTTCCTGACATGGAGAGGAAGGTAACGCAGGCATCGGTACTGATTGTAAACCTTCTTGCACCTCCGGGGACACCAGTACCAAAAGGCTAAGTAGGTCCCTTGTGACTGCTTATGCCTCTGGGATGGTTGGGAGCGGCAATGACTGATGGCTCTGCTACAGAGATCTTTCAGAGGATGCCCTCAATGGACCTGGCACAGCTCTGGAGGTGGCGATTCTTTCTTCTTAGGCCTGGTCTACACTACGACTTTAATTCGGATTTAGCTGCGTTAATCCGAATTAATCCTTAACCCGTCCACACAACGGAGCCAGTTACTTCGAATTAAAGGGCGCTTAAAATCGATTTCTGTACTCCACCCCGACGAGCGGAGTAGCACCAAAATCGATTTTGTTAATTCGAATTAGGGGTAGTGTGGCCGCACACCACCGAATTAATGTGGTTAAAATTAATGGGGTAGTGTGGCCGCACACCACCGAATTAATGTGGTTAAAAACCGAATTAATGTGCTTAGTGTGGCCGCGCACAATCGAATTTATACAATCTGTTTCCCAAATTCGAATTATCTAAATTCGAATTAATCTCGTAGTGTAGACGTACCCTTAGCTGAAGAGTGCTCCAGTGAGAGACTCTAACCTGACTGTGTCTTAAAGTCTCTACTTCTACTAGGCTTTGGCACCAACATCCCCAAGTGAGGTACCAAGCCTGAGGAGGGTGTAAGCCTTTTCTTCAGTACCAGCGAATGGGACTGAGGAGCTGCAGACACCTCCTGTGTGCTGCATACCGAGGCTGATGTACTTGGGGTTCTCTCTGCATGAGACAAGTCCGATAGGGGGCAAAGTGCTGCCTCCAAGAGCAACATATGAGCCTCACCACTCTAACTCTCCTTGAGCGGAGCTTAAATCCCTTACAAATGTGACTTTTGTCACTTATGTGGGATTCTCCCAAACATTTCAAACAGGCAGCGTGTGGATCACTGATCAGCACAGGTTTAGCGCAAGTGTTGCAGGATTTAAAACCCGGTAAATACGGCATCATTTCGGTACCGATCCCAGTACTGAAAGACAAAAACTAGTCCAAAAACACCTACGACTAAAATCTATCACTAAAACTAACAAACTTAACTAACTAACTACTTCCTAACAATAAAAGAGAGTATATATACAAAGGAGTGAGGGAAGCTTATGACAACAAGTC